TATGTCTTAATTGGAAAGTCAATTGTGTAATGGCCCTTGCACTCAAGAATTGTGTGTACAGAAGGGGTAACTTCTGGCTGCCCGGTGCCGCCCGAGCGCCCCCTGCCCCGCCATGCCTTCGCGCGCCAGCTCTGGCTGCTCTTCGAGTTCCCCGAGAGCTCACAGGCCGCGCGCGTGCTGGCCGTCGTGTCTGTGCTTGTCATCCTCGTCTCTATCGTAGTCTTCTGCCTTGAGACGCTGCCCGATTTCCGCGATGACCGCTACGACCCGGGACTAGCTTCAGTGGCCGCAGCTGGCCCGGTGAGGGGCGGGGCCTGGCTGGAAGGGAGGCGGGGCTCTGGAGGAGATGGGCGGGTCTCAGAAGGACCTGACCAATCAGAAGGCGGGGCAAGGGGCTACGCGCAAGTACAGAGTCTGACCTGTACTCCCACTAAAGGGACCTGCCGTGTCAGACAGAAGGCTGGTTTCTGTAGTGAGAAACAGGCCAGCAGAGCACAGGGCTCTTGGAGCAGGGGCAAGTGGACAGGAACATTAAAAATCGGAGCTGTAGGATGGAATATGAAAAGCTCGGGGTCTATGCAGAGAGCAGTGGGAATGATGGACTGGAGGGGTTCAAGCCAGGCCTGAAGAGAGAGAATGGGACTGAGGTTAGAGGAGGAGGGATCAATCACAGAGAGTCAGGCTGAGGGTAGTGAGCAAAAGGTCGAACAGAGATCTTGAGCCCTTATTTTCTGGGCTACGGTTGGGGAGGGCAAGGAAAGTCAGGGCATGAAGGGGCAGCGCACAGGGACCCTTCTCTGCTCTGGAAAATCAATACTGGGAGGGAGGACTTTGGAAGGAAAGGGTTGCACCCTACTCAAGCATCATGTCAGGAGTTGCCCTCGGTGACCCGGCAGGGACTACCTTTCCAGCCACCCATGGGTCAGGAGATCAGAAAATTACCTCTCCAAATGGATGTTCCCTTGAGTCCTGGGAGGGAGTGTTGGGACAATTGGGTCACTTGGGGCCTTGGGAGAGTGACCACTGACCAATCTATAGAAAGTAATTGGATATTTATTCAATGAATAAGACTATTCCCATGTCCCAGCCCTGGCCTGTCCCTTCCTGAACCCTTTCTTTCCTGCAGTTCCCCGCTCGGCTGAATGGCTCCAGCCCCGTGCCAGGAACCACTTCCCGCTTGCCCTTCAACGACCCATTCTTTGTGGTGGAGACGCTGTGCATCTGTTGGTTCTCCTTTGAGCTGCTGGTACGCCTGGTGGCCTGCCCGAGCAAGGCAGTCTTCTTCAAGAACGTGATGAACCTCATCGATTTTGTGGCCATCCTGCCCTACTTTGTGGCACTGGGCACTGAGCTGGCCCGACAGCGGGGTGTGGGTCAACCAGCCATGTCTCTGGCCATCCTGCGGGTCATCCGATTGGTGCGTGTCTTCCGCATCTTCAAGCTGTCCCGGCATTCAAAGGGCCTGCAGATCTTGGGCCAGACACTTCGGGCCTCCATGCGTGAGCTGGGCCTCCTCATCTTTTTCCTCTTCATCGGGGTGGTCCTCTTTTCCAGCGCAGTCTACTTTGCTGAAGTTGATCGAGTAGACTCCCATTTCACCAGCATCCCCGAGTCCTTCTGGTGGGCAGTGGTCACCATGACCACAGTTGGCTACGGTGACATGGCACCTGTCACTGTGGGTGGCAAGATAGTGGGTTCTCTGTGTGCCATCGCTGGTGTGCTGACCATTTCCTTGCCTGTACCAGTCATTGTCTCCAACTTCAGCTACTTTTACCACCGGGAGACGGAGGGTGAAGAGGCCGGGATGTACAGCCATGTGGACACACAGCCCTGTGGCACTCTAGAGGGCAAGGCCAATGGGGGCTTGATGGATGGAGAAGTGCCTGAGCTGCCACCTCCACTCTGGGCGCCCCCTGGGAAACACCTGGTCACTGAAGTGTGAGGGACAGTTGAGGTCTGCAGGGAGGGTAGAGGGGGAAATAGTGGGAGGGGATTGGGTTTAGGAAGATCTAGGTTAAGAGGTAACAAGTGGGGAAAGCTGAGTCTTGTTGGGTCTTGAGTTGTGTGGTTTGGTAGCTCCTGTGGGTCCTCAAATAGCCAAGAATGGCAACGGCTGGTGTTGGGCTAAGGGGGAACTCCGCTGGTTTGTACTGCATTGAGTAGTACACAGCTCATGGGGCCTTTTGGGGTAATGTTGAGATAGGTTTTCTCATATTTGTATATTTTTTATACAAATACATATCATCCTGTGTGTTTCCTAGGTCCACGTTGGGTTGGGTTGGCTGGTGAGTCTGAGTAAGTCTTGTCCAAATGCATTACACAGGATTTGTGAGCTCCCTAGAGTTGTGCTGGATCACATCAGGTAGTCCCCCATGGCACTGTGGAGATCCATTGTGTGGTCCATGCATGGTGTTGTTGAGTTGTGTTGAGACATGTCGAGAATTGTGTGGCATTGTGTTTCTTCTAGGACCATGTTTTTTTAGGTTCTGTGAACTTGTGAGTCATGTAGAAATACACAGTCAAGTAATAGAATATGAGCTTTCTAGGTCACAGTGGGTTAAGTTGGGTTGGAACCTATGGCTGAGTTCACCTTTTAAGGGTTTTGTCAAGTTGTATCAATAAGGCTGGTTCAGTTGGGTCATAAAACTGTTGGAGTCTCACAGGGCCATGCTGAGTTTTGTCACTGTGTGAATTCTGTTGATTGAGTTGGACTATATGTATGGGATCCATAGGGCAATGTTAGGTGGTTTTGCACTTAGTGGGAGCATCAGGACCTAAGGATAACAGCACTTGGCAAGAGTCATGTATCCAGGAGGAAGTGTGGTGTTGCGGATCTGGGAAATGGACTGAACCACTGGCCCAGCGTTACTCCCTGGAGGCGAGGGACTGGGTCTTGAATCCCTGGATTCAGGTGTTCATCAAAAGGGCCTCCAGGTGAACTAGGAAGATGGAGAGAGTTCATCTTGCCCCAGCTCTGTCTGTCCTCCCTTGTGGTTTAGCATGGAGACATGGAAGTCAGAGCCATGAGGGAAGACAGACAGGCAGAAAGCTGTGTGTACTCTGTTCAGACATAATAAGGGAACAAAAAGGAGGGGAAAACAGACACCCAAGAGAGACCGTGGGACAGAAAGAGAGAAAGAAGGAAAGAGAGACCCAAAGGAGGGAAACAGAGACCCATAGAGAGAAGACCCCTTAGGGGAATAGAGACCCAGAGGAAAGGGGACAGGGACCCAGAGAGAAGTACAGAGACCAATGATGAGGCATGGAGACCTGGAGGGGGATGTCAGACACCCCAAGAGAGAAGGACAGACACTAGAAATGAAGACAGACCACACAGCATCTGAGAAAGAAAGCTCCTCCTTCCCTGCCCCCCCCAAAAGGCAGAAAAACTGGTATTCTTGACCCTAAAGAGAGGCCCAGTCTCTGTCCTCAGAATCCTAAGAGATCACCCATCTTCCTGCAGCTCAGAAAGACTGTCTGACAGCTGGATGTCTCTGTGTTTTCCAGGAGAGGAACCCAAGGCTCAAAAGGGCAATAGCTTCCCAAGGTTCACACAGCACACCAGGGTGGGGGTGCTTGTGGCTGGCTGCTGGGCTTCACATGTTCCCACAGTCCGTGGTGTTCAGGGACTTCCTGAGGCCAGTAGTCTCATGTCCTATAGATGAGGAAACTGAGGCTCAGAAGGTATGCTGTTACCCAAGGTAGCAAAGCCAAACATTTTCTAGAGTCAGAATGAAAGGGCATTTAGAGGAGGAAGAGGAGGATGGTTACAATCGCTAACACACATAGGGCTTCCTATGTGCCAGGCATTGTTCAAGGTATTATATTAATTTATTAAAAACCTATCCAGTGGTTTACAGAGTGTTGCCGTTATTATTTTTAGCTCTTCATTAGCACCCCTTTTTTGAGTCAAATAAACTCTTCCTTTGAAGCACGAGAGGGAAATTGGTTTGAGGACCCACCTCCCTGTGAGCCCATCTAAGCAACTCAGAATATAGCAAAGAAATTCAGTTTGGAAACTCCAGATTTAATTAAACTACCTTTTTTTAAAAAAATGGTTTTTTTTAGTTGTAGTCGGACACAATACCTTTTACTTATTTATTTTTATGTGGTGCTGAGGATTGAACCCAGCACCTTGCATATTCTAGGGGAGCGCTCTAGCACTGAGCCACAGCCCCACGCCCTAAACTAACATTTTTTATACAACAAGTGAGAAGATACAGATGGCAGGAGGAGTTTGATAATGGTTGAAAAAAAAATACCTTTAGGCAGTCATTCTTTTTGAAATGGATAAAAAGTTACATTCAGAGACAGAAATGGAGACAGACTCCCCTCTTCACAGCAAAAGACAAAGCAGAGTAATAGGGTGCAGAACCCATCATAGAGACACTCAGGAGACCTGGAGAGAGGACCAATCCCAGCAGAAGAGAGAATTCCAAGGGCCAGAAAGAGGAGGGCAGAGGGCTGGGAAGAGTAAGAGACCAAGAGAGGAGAGACCCAGAGAAGGGCCGCAGGCTGTTTCCCGGTTCCTCCTCTTTGAACACTCATCCCTGTTACCCTTCAGGGCCTGGAAATTACACAGCGTCCTCTTCTCAGGGAGTGGATTGTGCCTGGATGGGGGGGGAGTGTCAAGAGGTCACAGAGGTGACGGGAATGGTACGTCATTCAGACTGGGAAGTGGCCCTTTCCCCACCTCCAGTAAACAACTGGAGCCGCCCTCTGTGTTGCCTTGGCTGCCATGGGACAGAGAGGGGAACACCCTAATCCGGGGACACCCTTCCTGCCACCTTGCCATGCTATATTTAGGCTGAGGGAGGGGTGCCTGATGACCCCCACAAGGCAGGTGTCGGCTTTCTTTCTAAAAATAGCTCAGAGAAGGGGAGCAGAGTCCCAGGATGGAGGTGTGGTAGGGTGAAGGCCCAGCCACCCATAGGACCGTCCCGGACTAGCTAGCTCCTATCTCATCTCTTAAGGGCTCTCTCCGAGGCCCTGTCCCTCCCCGGGTCCCCTCCCCTTCTGTTGGGATGTCTGCCCCTCTGTCTTCTCTGCCCAGGTCTTTGTTCCCCATCCCTAGGTCTTTGCCAGCCTCTTTCCCTTAGTTTCTGTCCTTTTCCCTCTATTTCTGTGGCTTCTCCTCCCCTCTGCATCTGAATCATTTCAGTTTCTCTAGACAGGTCACCCTGTTCTTAAAACATTTTTGTCCCCGAGTCCTTTAATACCTTGAATTTTTCTTGACTGAGCTCAGGACAAGACCCTCTCCCCAGTCCCCACCCAGGAAATTCCAGGAGACAGGACTCTGTAGGAGAGCCCCCCACATCCACTGTCTCTGAGGCGTCGGGCCTTATCGCTGCCCAAGCCCAGCTGGTTAATGTCTGGCGGGGAGCTCCTGGGAAAGTGGGGGTGAGAGCAGAGGGTGGGAATCTGTCCCCAGATTGACACCGAATTGGCAAAAGACTGCATAGGATCTCAGGCCCATCTCCTGGGTGTGAGGGAGGAGGGCTGGGGCCTGGACCTCTGGATCTGAGCGGGGAGGGGCTGGAGGGCCGGTACCCCTGGATCTGAGGGAGGGCCTGAAAGAGGAGGGCCTGGACCCTGGATCCGAGGGAGGAGAACTGGGTCTAGACACACGAATCTGAGGGAGGAAGGCTGGGATCCAGGACCCTTGGTCTGAGGGAGGAGGGCTGGGGTTGGTACCCCGGGGTCTGGAGCGGGGGCGGGGGCCTGG